TTCAGCCGTGAAGCAGGCTGAGAGAAAGGTGTTCAACCACGGAGTATATATGGTCAAGTGGCAAAAGTAAATATCAAGATATGTGGATAGTAAGAGTCAGGAGACATAATAACAAAGGAATTTTGGTGCTAACAGAGTCTTGAACTTCAAACACCAGTATAGTGATATTTAAAGTGTCTGGCCTAAGCACCTTTACCAGGTGGATTATATATGGCTCACCTATTGCTATCTATCTACTCCATTCCTGGAGTCATGGTCTGGTGATATGATGGTCATCCTGTCGCGAGGTGTGTGTGCTTGTGTGTGCCATGGCCATATGGCCATGCGTGGCACAGTAAAACTTTAGATCATGATCACCTACGTATACGTAGGTGATGCATCACCTGGGACAGTCCCTACCTATTATACGAGAGTGTCGCTTATATATAGGTGATCGAAAGGTTTACTGTGTGGCACAACAAGCACAATATACACACTGTACTATACACACTGTGACACAATATTGTCTATATACTGTGTGTGTATGCTTGTATGTGTGTGCTGGTGTGTGTGTGTGTGTGTATGTGTGTGTATTACCCTTGATATGATATCATGCATGACACTCCATCGATGAAGAGAAGATGATTAATACGATTATTAGTGAGTGTGGTTCGTAGTTCTTCTTACATGCACCAGATAGACCGCTAGTTTGATTATTAAGCATCGATGCTACTGATATCAGTAGCTTTTATTAGCGAACATATATGTATATACGTCTGTATATTACACGTAAATGATATATAATTTTATTTTATTCAGCTAATGAAAGTCATGACTATATACGCGCTAGCGAGACACCATCATGTACACAGCTACGTAGCACATGAGCAACCAATCATATACAGCATATGGAGGTCCTCATCATGTGCTGGTGGTGTATGCCAACCTTATTAGTGAGGTTCTGTGCCATGATTTCTTAGATCATACATGATCATGATGAGGCACCTGCCTGCTGCAAGCGCTTGCCCCTACAAACGCGGAGGGGGGTTAAGAAACTTAGGAGAATGCTTAAGAACGATAAGAACGTCTGAAGAACACGGAGGCGGCGGGTGTGCATTCTTAATCATTCTTACACTGGGATTAAGCGGTTTTATGTAAGTATGTCATATAAGTATGAATTAAGAATGCATCAGCCATGAAAACATTCTGTAATTAATGCCCGATGGAGCTCTTATAATTCCCGGATAGGTAATACATCACAGTGATTGCGAAACAGTGAATATACCATGAAATTTCATGAAAACCATCGACATGTGTCTGGGTGTAATAATGCGAGACAGGCCTCTTAGATTAATCTAACAGATTCACTCAACAGATTCACTCATCATGATCATGATAAGCGAATTCATAACCTATAATCAAATCACCTATGAATCACCTTGCATATGTGTGTATTACATGTACATGGCTAGCTGCAGGTAAAACTACCCACACAATCATAGCTTGCGAGCTGAAGGCCCTGGGGCAATACCTGTACACCTAGAAGCCACGGAGAACAGGAAACACCGGACTGTCATACCCCTGGCATCTGGTGGGGCTG